TTAAATTAGCTAGATTAAATTCCTTCACAATGAAAACAAAATGTAGGTCACAATTAAGAATTTCATAAATATTTATTGTCACTCTTTCCAAGGTAGAAATGGATCTAGAGGCAGGAAAAAACTGTTTTAAGTTTCTTTGTTTCAATAGTTTGAGGAAAAATACTAAAACCACTGAAATTTAAAGAAAGGATCTGTCTTAACCAGAAGAAAGGTCTATTGATTTTTTAAATGTTAAAAAAACTCCTATTTTCAGGAAGATAGTTAAAAGCAAAGTCATTATTTTTAGCATCCAGTTCTCTAGTTCTGGAAATATTGTAAATGAGAAATGTTGGTGAAGTCCAAGAGATAAGAGAAGCTGTATATTTGGGAAAAATCAATTCATTCCTTAAACAGGAAAAAAGGTGGATGGAAAATGCCAGAAAGAATACAGATACCAATTAATATTAAACTTATGGGTCATTAATCTTTGAAAGTAAATAAAGCTACAGAAAGTTATGTAATTATTAACACTGAAGATCTAAATTTCACAAGAGAGAGGTATGGAAAGCCTAACCAGGCATCTCTATTAGTAAGTGCAGTCCTGCTGGGGTTATAGCTCAGCGGTACAGCACCTGCCTGGCAAGCGCAAGGTCCTGAGTTCAGTTCCCTGGACCAAAAAAAGAAGCGTGGTCGTGTCACATCATTGGTAAAACTGTCTTTTTCACAATTTACTTATAGGGACTAGAAACTTCTCACGTAAGAATCCTTTTGCATAAAGAGAATACACAGTGATACTAAAGAAGAATATGCAACACGTACACATTGAATTTATTTCTTTTCAACAGCTAGGCTTACATTTTTAGTCATTAATATGTATTCAAATATTTAAAGATTCTGACACTTGTAAAATGCATATGAATTTGTCCTTTCCTCTTGCGCAGTGCTGTACCAGTGAGGAAAACATACTGCAACTAAAGAAATGGAGATGTTAAGGTTTTATTTTGATGTTGGGCATTTTGTTACAATTTCTGTTTCTGGTCAAGTGCCCCCCTGTTATTGCTCCATGTGCACAAATTTTTTACAGCCAACAACAAATCCAAAGTGAGCTAATTCTTCTCGCTGAGCAGGCTGTACACACTTAAACAGAACAATCTATAGAAGTAACATAAAGCACTGTGCAAGAGTAAAGCTAAGGTAAAATAATTTTTAAAAATCTATACAAATGCCCCAGAGTAGACCTGACTGCACCCACAAACACTGCCAATAGTCATGCATAAATCTACTCACAACTAAATTTCAAACTCCACTGTGCTTTGGAGATTTATCCCAAACAAGGAATTATAATTTGGAAATGCATATAATTTGGAAACGAATTATAATTTGGAGTCCATATAGCCTAGCATTAGTAATCTATTTAAAACTTGCACACTTGTTTTTGTCCGGATTGTGTAAATCCATAGATTTTGTTTCTCAGATCATTTTCCCAGAACAAGATAAGATGTGTATTTTCTATAAAATTGAATTAATCTCTATCACTTCTCTAAAAAAATAAATATCATGTCATGGTCCTAGGAGTTTTTGCTATATAAGCTGCTAACATTTAGGCTGCGAGCACAAAGTTTACACTGAGAGAAAGTTGATTTAAATTATTTATTTACATATGTGTAGAATACATATGTAGGGCAACTGTGAGTTGTAATGCCAGCGGCCTTCCAAGGTGGACAACAATATAATGTTACCAGTCATTTAGCAAATAAATAGAAAGGATTACAGTGGATAATAAAAAGTCAAGGTCAATGAGGTGCCATCCCCTTAAGCCCCCTTAATCTACTTCACAAAATTATAAGGCATTTAAAACTAATCTTTCTTCAACTTGGGCAATGATGTGCACTTTCAAAATAGATGTAATTCTTACTTTGTAATAAACATTTTTCAACTCTAGTTTGATAAAAAGATTAGCAAAACTCAAGAAGATATCGGAATGTAAATATCCTTTCTAGTACGCAAATTTTTCCCTTGTTTCTATGTGCTCGTGCTCTCTTCCCAAAGGGCCATAAACAAATGTAGTGATAATAGTCTGAGTGTAGCCCTTAGGATGGACAAACTAACAAGAATGAACAAACAAAATGCATCTTGTTTTCAAACTGAAAAACCTATTATAGGTGGCTCATTTAAGCTACCAATGTTAGTAATTACATAACTTTCTAAATTAAAACACTATCACTTAGGACAAACTCATGAGTGGTTTTCAATGCCATTCAAATGGTTTTCCTTTATTTAACCTATTTTATTATTTGTTTTAGTTCAAGATATATGATGAAAAATCCATTGGTCATCAAAAAGAATTCTTCCATAGTTGAGGATTTTGCTATAAGAACATTGATCCATATGGATCATGCATCATAATTATATTTATATAAGAAGTTAAAAGATACTCCATACCTTGAACATAATGTGCACACTTTTACTCACAAAGTCAGAAATAACACCTCATTAGTATGATTAAATGGAATACAGAGCCGTAAGGTTTACCTTTGTTGTTTTTCCTACTCTCAAAAACTTGTAGTTTTCTCCATGCTTATTTGGTTAGCATTTCTAAATTGCCAGATAATTAAGGAGTCTTATGCTCAAATGCAACTGGCTAATAATTACATAGCAGCCTATGCTTCTTGCCAACCTCTGGCCAGAAACTTTTCTTTAAAACCTAGACTATTTAGATAGAGAGCACATCAAGGCTGATATACTATGAAAGAAAGAAGGAAGGAAAGAAGGCAGGAAGGAAGGAAGGAAGGAAGGAAGGAAGGAAGGAAGGAAGGAAGGAAGGAAAGAAAGAAAGAAGGAAGGAAGGAAAGAAGGAAAGAAAGAGCTAATTTGTCTTACTGTGTTTTTCATCTGAAAGAAAAATGACTTCCCAGGGACCTAAATAATATCTTGATATAAGGAGAGACCAGTTTTGATGTTTATTTCAATATTCAGTGGTGGGGAAATTGAAACACTGAGCACTGTAAAAACAGTTAACTTGCCCTAATTTACCCTGCTGGACTGTGACAAAAGTATATTCAGAATCTGAGACAGAACTTAAATATTCATGTTTTTTTAAAAAAATCTTTCTTCACCTGCTTTCCATAAAAACCACAATAAAAATACTCATATCTAATGAACAAATATTAAAGCACAACATTCACATAATTACAAAGTATTCATAATTTAGAATTACCCATGTATGATACATACATTCTAGGCAAATTTACCTACATGAAATTTTGGAAAACAGACTCAGAGAAAACAATTTAAAAGATAAAAATGACACAAGATAGAAGAATTCATTAGAAATAGGACAGAGAATTTCACAAGTATCAGCCACTGTATACTTCAAAACAGCCACTCCTCTGGATTAATTTTAAAAGTTCTAAAGCAATGTGGTTATTCAAAATAGAACATCAAATAGGTCAGATCTCACATGTGAATAAATCTCCTTAAATGTAAGGGAAAATGTGCTTTGCAACTGGGTTCCAATTGTGTTAATTTTCAAAATGCCATTTTAGTTAGTTCTCATAATACTCCCAGGAAAGTGCTGGATACTACAGAAGCAATTTGTGCTGGCAGCAATTTAAAATTTCAAATTGTCAAATCATCCATTTTCTGATCTTCATAAGGCTGTGTGCATTTTTTCCCCTACTTTGGACAATGGGAGACAGAGTCAGTATCATAACAGAAATTTTCCACTTTAACAATGAAATGTGAGTCTGCATTCAACCACTATGACCACACCATTCATGCTAATGTGGGATACAAGGAGCTTTAGCATCATCATCTACTCTTTGTATTTCTGTTTGCCTTGCATTGCAAGCTTTTTCATCTACTAGATCATGTTTAGTGCACCACTGTCCCAATACAGACTGATAAAACTTGCTATTATGTTACATAGCTCACATTTCTGTTTGACTTTTGCTCTTACGTTACAACCACCTGTCTAGGATATAGCGTTTGATCTTATATTCTAATAGTAGCATAGACAAGTGTGTGCATGTTGCTTTGGAAAATGTTTGGATTTTAAATACATACATCCATTTATTCCTATTAGTACATTGTTCAGCAGTATAATAGTAAAAATTGTATTCTGGATTCACCCAGAGCATCTGTACTGTGTAGGAATAAAACATGCAGTCATTTGGTCCCGCAACTAGCCTCCACAATGCACGAGTTGAAACACAGAACGTGACTGTATCATGATTGCATGGATTACAGCAGGTGTTTACCCTTGCTCCCAATCTGAGTAAATTCTACTGAGAACTGTAAAATCTGGGAACCTAAAAGACTAGTCTACTACTCTATATACAGTGTTTGCTGAATGTGTGCGTCCTTGCTGAGAAGAGCAGCCTGCATTCAGGACCACATCATGTCATGCACAGAGATGGCAGAGATGTCTGCAAAAGAATAGTGTGATATCTACACCATTAATAAACAATTAATCCTTCCTGCTTATTGACAGCCCATCATAGTTCAAAACCACCATGTTGTTTACCGCATATATGCACATACATTTAGGTAGAGAGCACATCACAGCTAATGTTATAGGTCAATTAGCCAAGATGCTGAGTCCATGTCAGAAGACAGCAAATATTTGCACCCCTCTGCTGCAAAGGTGAACTGCACCCTTGCACCAGCCTACTGCTTCACAGTCATTCCCACATAGCTTTACACAGTTATTTTTGAAGTACATGGTTAAAATTAAACTAACATTTTCTGTACTCACATTATGTTTTGCTACTCACTCCCCTTTAAAAGCCTTACCCAAATTCGACTTAAACCAATAGAAAAATGCCCTGAAATTCAACAAAGATCAAGAAAAAGTTGCCCTCGTCACTATGAAAAAATCCTCCCATTTCAAGACTGACTTCCATAATTACTTTTTTTTTTTTTTTTTTTGTTTTTTCTCCGGTACCGGGAACTGAACTCACGACCTTGCGCTTGCCAGGCAGGCGCTTTGCCGCTGAGCTAAATCCCCAGCCCCCATAATTACTTTATAGACCACAATTATTTCATTTTCTTATATCTACGGTAGGTAGATATTGAAGCATAGCATGAAGACATGGTCCATGAAAAGTTCCATTGGGGGTAAGGGAAGCTACTTGCACAAGGAAATGGAAACTGGAACCCACAGTACACACTATGCTGCTAGGCTCCTAGAGAGGCACATCTTGGAGGCATGTGAACAAGTTCAAATGGAAATTCTAAAACAGAGCAAAGTACCATTTCGTACTTCTCCAGTCTGATTATGATGACTCATCTTTCAATTCTAATGAGTTTGGTTGGAGACACTGAAAGATAGAAAAGCTCATGAAAATGGATATAGTAGACCATTTCACTTCGCCACCTTCTTTCGTATGTTAATGCCTATGTACAGATGGTCCAATATATACAAATTATTGGTACATACTTTCAACTTGATACCAACACTGACTCCCCCTCTTCCAATATTCAATACCATTGATGCTCTGGTTTAAAAGTATGCCTCTCTGAACAACTTCATAAACTACACTTTACTCAATTTTTCTGTATTTAGAAATGAATGTATATTTTATTCTGAATGCATATGATTGAAGGGACGAGCCATAGACAACACAATTGTCGTCTTCTTTTTGTGACTTCTTTTTTAGTTGATAATAGGCACTTTCTAAGAAGAGGATTTGTAACACAAAAGACTCCAAAGCTCAGTCTTGACTTACCCTTTCATAAGTGATCTGCCTGAGCCACAGTAGTCTATTGTACCAACCCAGCAGACGTTCAGCAGTAGAACTATGTGCAAAGTAAGCTTTAGAAAATTGTAACCAGAATAAAATCACTGAAAAGTAGTTATCTGAGTCAAGCAACTTAACACCTACTTCTTGGTTGGCTGGTTTGTTACGTTTCCTGCGTTATCCGTCAAACAGTACGAATCACGTGTCAACAATTCTGTGCGCGTCTTTTCACTCTTTAAATTACAGATATGCTACAAAACATGCCTATCTGTTTACATTCCTTTTAAAAATTCTGTAGTAAAACAGTTAAAATTTTGCTACCATACTGTAAAAATTTTGTATGTGTTTCTTTGCTAAGAGCCTTTCAATTCACCCCTGAACAAGTTTTGGAAATATACATGTAGAACATTCATCACCTGTGGAAATTTGGTATCTCTAACACAAGTTGGTAAAAGGCCCTTATACCCTGTTCTGCAGTATTTCTATAATACTATACACTATATCAACAGTGGAGTATTGACGGTGTCGGTAATGACAGCTGACAAGATGGCAGCTCTTCTCCAAGAGAGGGCAAGTTGGGATTTCCTTACCTCAGAACTGATGGCTACTATCTAAGTATAATGTCAAAAAAAAGGAGCGGTAGAGTTGAGTGAAAATGCAATTCATGCACAAAACCCATAGCAATAAGTTTTCAATATCCCACATTGCTATTTGCCATAGGCAACAAAAGTCATTTAAATGGAGCAAACACTGCCTGTAGGGGGAAATAACCTAACACTAAGTTACGGAAAAATATCCTATGGAAAGCGATCAGAAAATGGTACTAACCAGTTTAAAAAGTAGAACTCTTCCTTGGCATTAATCTATAATTTTAACTTAACAGAAGAGCGAAGAAATGACAGCTTGATATACTTAGCCTGAGATCAAATTTGTCACGGCAACATTGGCAGGTTGGACCCTGATTCTTCAAATATTATATCGCCTTAGTTAACAAAAATCATACTTTCTTATTATACAATAGAGATTATAAATAAATGTAAAGTGTACATGCAGTCAACTGCATAATATACAAGCAATATCTATGTTTTTAATAATTATCTTCTTTGGCAGGCCAGAATCCAGCTGGACATGCAATATGTACATATCAAAATCCATATTGTGTTCGTCATATTTAAAGCAAGTGAAAATATATATGTATATACTGTATATACACACATATGTATATAGATGTATATACTGTTTTAAATATATTAACAAATATATAGGTATAATATTAAAAGTGGATTTCATCTTTATCCGATTCAGGGGACTCAGGCCTTGAGACACTAAAAATATCTTGACATGGTATTTGGGGAGGTACTTGGAGTGGCATTTGGGATTTGGGAGATGAGGCCTGGGGTGCGCTTTTTTCTGACAGTATTTTTAAAATTTCTGCCACCTGTTTTTCGAGGGCAGTCATTCTGCAGCTGAGCAGCTGAATGTCTTCCTTGAGTTCGTGTTTGACTTCCTGCAGTGTGGTCTGTAAGGCCTGCTCGGGGATGGGGTAAAAGGGGTGCTTGGCATCCGCCTGAACGGGGCTGTGCTCTAGTGGGCTTCGGGCCTCACCAGCCTTATCCAAACGAAGGTCACTTTTTGTAATTCCACTGTCACAAGAATCTGTTTTCCTTAATGGATTTTTGGTTGCACTGTTCTCTGAGTCACTGCCCTTGGGGTCCTCCGACAAGAGCCCCATGGACTCAGCTTTGGTGACGTTATTCCAGTCTTCCTTTTTCTCCTCATGGGCTCCCATGTTGTTCTTGAGCCGCAGCCACCCTTTGCCATTTCCGTTCTTCATTCTTATGGGGCTGTTGACTTTGAGACACTTCTGATCAGCAGCACCGCCATTGGGCTTGAGTTCCATGGCATTGCGGTTGTTCTGCTTGAGGGATTCACTGGTTTTCACATAGGCCAGAGATGTCTGAATGGGAGTAATCTGGGAGACGGTCACCACACTGGTGCCGGTGATGGATGCTCCATTCTGTAAGGAGCGACTTTCCACCTGCAGCTGGTTCCTTTCGGGGTCAATCTGTGTTGAGCCCTGATTCCGAAGCTCCTTCTGCTGCTTAAACTTCTGGAAGAGCTTTCTGACTGGGTGGTCCACAGGGATGCTGAGAGTTACCTCGTTCTTCTGCCTGAGGCGCTCCTCCTCCTCCTTCTTTACATCACTGATTTTTCTGAAGATGATCTGTGGAATGGGAGAGTCAGACCATGATTACAAAATCAAGTGAATTTATAACATACCAGATGTACTTTGTTTTACAAAGGAAACCCTTGGGTATATAATAGGATCCTTTCAGAAGGAAAAAAATAACCAAATGCCAGATCCAGCATACTTAAAACCCAAGGTAAGAATACTGACCACTTACTTACTTAGTTCTAGTTCCCTACGTATCACCAGGAGAACGTGGTTGAAGAAAGTGATAGAGGTGCTTAGCTTCTAGTAAATATATTATATAAATACAAATTAAATTCTTTAAATTTTTAAAAATTCCTTAATATAAATATAAATTCCTTTAAAATACATATATATATATAGAGAGAGAGAGAGAAATGAATAGAGATGCTTGGTTTCTAATATACATAAATATATTCTTTAAATATATATGTATATATATAATACATTTCTATAATACATTCCCATCTTTCTATCCTCTTTTATATTTTCATAATACTTTCTATTGTGAATACGTTTCATAACATTTTAGTATTTTCTATTTAAGGGTCAGATAGTAGAAGTTTCACAATACAAAATCTCTAAAACTTCAGACAGTTTACCAGCATGACATATGGGTCTACATGGGGCATTAAGTTATTTATGTTTCCACAGAGGTAGAATTAGGATTTATGACTAAAAGTTTCAGAAGGCAAAATATCAGCTCAATATACAAACTTCATTTTAAACTGTTATCTATTAATTAAATAAATTACTTCAAAAACACATAAATTCTCATCACTAAAATGTTTAAACAAAAGAAAACTGTTGACCATAGTACATTTTCACTTAAATTGGAAGCTGGTCTCTTCAAATTCCAAGACAGTACACTGAGTATGAATTAAGTGTATAGTACATGTGAGGTTGACTTTATTGAACAGGTTTTTTTTTTTAAATATCAGAGATAACTTAAAATAACTATAACAAGAACATTAAAAATATTGACTACAGGAGAAATTACCAGCTATCTTTTCAGTTAAAAGTAAATTTAGGAAGTGTAATGTTTTCGCTGATTTCTGAAAGGCAAAGTAACCATAGGTTAAAGCTGAATGGAAATCTTTAAATAGAGTTGTATTAGATAAAACACTTTCAGAGTCAGGCAATTGTATGACTCCAGCAAAATGACTTACCTCTACCATCCTCTCCAAGCTGGCGGATAGAGTGGAGTAATGTGAAACACAACCCTTACCCATGATCGACACTCAAAATATACTAGCTCCCTTTCCTCTAACTCTCATAAAATACCAACTACTTAAAACAATTTATGTCACATTTCAAAGGTTCCCCAGCTTTCAGGAGTAACAAATAGCCATTGATTTTATAGCAGATAATAATAGTAATGATGGTCACTGTTAACAGAAAAGTCAGGGAGGTAGTAATCTTATTTCTAGGTCAGATTACATTTTCTAAATTAAGGGTGATGTGCTAAATTCAGCTTACCAACTGATGGTAACTATCTTTTCAAATTAATATTCTGTAAATTCAGTATCTGTATGTAAAGGCCAACATATGCTTCCCTCTCTAGTATCCCATGTGATTGAGCCTCTTTAAAAGATGGAACATTAATCTCAATGTCTGGCATCAAAGCTCCAGCAGTGAAATTAGAAATCTTTCAAAGGACTGACGTATTTCTCCTTCATAAGTAAACAGAATATGGACTAAGCCTTTAAGATAATAATATCCTTTGGGATGAGATAGACTAAAACACGGAAACACAGACACTATTTCCCATCCCCTTTCTCTGTAAAGGCAAAGGTGCTCACTTTTAGTTCCTTGAAGAGACAGGAGGGTCCTAATGTAAATGACTGTTCATCTCTACAATGCAACTCACTTCTGAGCATTTTTAAAAAATAGACACATGTTTAACTGAGAGCAGAGAGATCCCTTGGTGTGATGAGGCAACTGGGAGCAGCCTTCACATTTGGAAAGAAAGCATTCATTTCAAACTGTCGATGGAGGACAGCAGGTTCTTGACATTCAGGAAAGTCAGATTAGAGGCAGACTGTGCACCTAATATTTGGAACATACTAAAAATACATTACATAGCTGAACTGAACATATTTATACTTTTAAAAGTATGTGTTGTTTATTTGAGATTTAATTTTAACTGGCAGTCCCGGCAGTAGTTTATAGACAAGAATATTACTATCTCTGTAATGTCTACATGCAGTGCCATGTGACGTTCACAGCTTATAGAAATTAATGAAAGAGGGGCTGGGGATTTAGTTCAGCGGCACAGCACCTGCCTGGCAAGCGCGAGGTCATGAGTTCAATTCCCTGTACCAGAAAAAAAAAAAAAAAGAAATTAATGAAAGCTTTGCTACCCCTGATGACTGAGAACTTTTGGACACCTGAGTCAAAGCCTTGTTTTTTAGATGGTTCAATATAACTGGTAAGAAGTGATTAAGATTGCAATACGCCCATGAAAGATAACAAGAAAAAAAAACTTCTCTACCTTCCACGACCCACCTCGACCCACCCTTGTCCCTCCAACCAATAACAAACAAAGCTGTTATAATGCTAATAATAAACTGAGAACAAAGACTCTAAATACAAAAATTCCTAGTACAAAGGAAGTCTCGGCGCAGGGGTAAAAACCCTGTTCTGCATCAGGAGAACAGCAGAGTTGGATTAGAATATTCATCACCAAGAAAAGAGAGGATACCAGGAAAAAACAGAATTGAGGTTGAAGACATTCAGTGAAAGAATCCCAAATGTTGCACATGGTTCCTTTTTCTTTACCTCCCCACCTCTAGGTAGTGGGGAGGACATGGGGTGATATTATACATTGCTATCTTGGTATTTGGGGCGACTTAAGAACATCAAGACTGGCCCTCACTTCTCACCTGGGGTTTGTTGAGTAGCAGGACCTACACTTTCACTCTCTGGACGTAGCAAGGTCCCCCTTCTTGGCCCTTACTTTTCACTTCCTGTAGCCTACGTGGGCGTTGGCTAAGATCTTCATGATCTCAGAAATCCACAGTATGTGGCCATTTGTGACTTCAATTTCATAGCAGCCAGATAAGACAAATGTGCTCCATGAGGAGGGAAAAGCTATTCCATGCTGGAGGAAACCTGCAAGGAGCCTCAAACCATGAAATATGCCCCATATATAGAGAAGTAGCAACTGGGCAAACCAATACCCTGAGGGAGTGACCGCAAGCCTTCCAGACTTCAGTCACAAGCTCTAGGTACTGACACAGTCCACCCCTCTGCTCCCCTTAGCAGCAGACCCACAGGCAGCTCTGAGTCCAGGAGATATAGAAGCTACTCCAGAGGAGGGTAGGGAAGAGAGGGCTGTAAGGAAATTTCCTACACAACGCATACAGTTTGAACTGGAGCCAGATGAAAACAGTAACCCTCAGATTTGATCAGCTACTAATGGTACCACAACCAGGTTTTCAGGCCAGAAGTAAATTTTTAAAAAACTCTTAGGAGTCTTATTTATTAGGCCAAGTTCATTTTTATTATTTTTGACTATTAATGGAAACAACTTGTTGGGAAATAGTTATAAAAAGTTCTGTGTAACAGAGTGACTGCTCCCACACGTGTTTTCTCCTTTAACTCTCATAACTACTGTAAGAGACAAGTCTTACTAGTCTCACCTTACTGAGGAGCAAATGGTAGCATGGAGAGTTTAAATGGTTTGTCTCATGTCACTCAACTAGCAAGTGCCCAGAATACAAATCAAAAGAGTTAGATTCTAAACGATCTTAACCATCATATTCTACTGCCCCTCAAGGTAACTAATATTTTCTCCTGCATTCTGAAAAGCTGGATAGTAAAGCTAGGAGAGTGGGAAGTGGTGTAGCAGATAACTCTTCACAGAGCCTTGGCCATGGAAACCCATCGCTGAAAGAAGTGAGTTGAACCAGAACAAAGCTCTGTGCTTGCTGGGTAAATGGTAGCCTGATTAACACCTGGAGAGAGTTCTGTAAGACTCTCCTCACGCTCAAAGGCACAGCCAGTAGGTTTGCTTCAGTTCTTATCTCCCAGCAAATTCATGTCGCCATTTTGGTTTTTTTTCTTCCCTTCAAAACTGCCTTGTGTTTTCCTTTACTTCCTTCTACCTATATTTAACGCATTACCTTTATGGAAAAGAGGGAATTGGGGGTCAAAGAATGTGATTTCCCCATTCTCATTCCCACTGATACCTACATTCGTTTATGAAAAGAGATTTTTGTCTTTTTAAAACATTTGTGCTCCAGTCTGAACAGTGCCTGCCACAGTCAAAGTCTTCAATAAATAAATGTTATTCAGTAACTGAATAACTTCAGACACTCAGCAAATGTATCTTTCACTGGAAAAGACATGAACCCTATGAATGGAAATTCATATATTACACATAATGAGTGCTTTCTTGTTCCTTTACTATTTTCTACCCTCTAATGAATCAGCAAAATCTGTATTATTATTACTATTATTATTATTATTGATAGCTGTGTCTACTATGACTTTCACATTGAATGTGTAGTATATTGTGTACCCTCTGGCATTCCCAGAGTGAGGCCCACTGCCAAGTGCAAACAAGTAAATAGTTAATAAATGCATGCCAAGTAGAATTTGGTTCAAAATTGGAGTCAAAAATCAGCCTTGGGTTGTTTTTTTTTTTTTTTTTTTTGGATACTGGTGATTGAACCCAGGGCCTTCATGCTGAGTTACAAAGCCAGACACCTTCCTACTTTTAATTTTTGAAAGGGTGTCTTCCTAAATCACGAAGTTGCCCAGGCTGGGCTTGAACTTTGTGATGCTCTTGCCCTCAGCTCTCAGAGAGCTGGTCTTACAGGCAGGTGCTACAGCACTCAGCTCCCACAAATCAGTTTTTGAAAAACACTCAATTGGATTCTTTCTTCAATTTCCTTTTAAGGATACAGCAACATCCATTAGGTACTTACTTACGGCTTATAACAATACCAAATTTTCTTATGTAAGGTAAAAGAACGTAGACAGTAAAATGAAAAATGACTCAGGAA